GCCGACTTCTGCGTGCGCGAAGTGGGCACGGCGAGGTAAGCAATGAGTAGGCATTCGGAGAACGTGCCCAAGCCACTGAAGTCCGCGCAGGGAAATTATACTGCTCAGTGGCCGGCAAAGTCTGTCTGATTTGAAAATCCTTCGCCGAATATCTTCATTCCTAGTGTAATGTTGCCATCGTACACCAGCAATGCTCCGAAGGCAGCGGTGATCAAAAGCAGACAGCCTCTCAACATGCTTTGCGCGAACAGGCGGTCTCGCAGCCATAGAGAATAACCGCTCTGACTGGGGCATTGTAAACTCGGCGCCTCAGAGCTAGACTCAGATCACCTCGGTGAAAGAGATGGCGGAGATTGGCAAAAGCAACCCGAGCGTTGGAGACGCGCAGAGACCTCATGCGTTAAACCATTAGCGCTGAGGGAGCTTACAAGGTAAAGGAACTTATCCACCACTTTCAATGAATGACTTAGAAGGGTAAGGTAAGAAGCAGCACTTAGACAATCCTGCAGGAAAACCTTGCATTTCGATGGTGCGAAGGTCATTCCAAACTGGGAGACAGACATCAACTTATACAGGACATTTTGGGCGGCCTGTGAGGAAGCGCAGATTACGACGATGTTGTCTGCATACTCCAAATCCCCAAAATCGGTCCCCTGGAAGTAGCTCGACGCCGCTGGGTTCGCAGTTCTCCAGAACACTCTCCAAAATTTCGTCTATAGCGAAATTGAACAAGAAAGAGGATGCTGGGCAACCCCGTCTTACGCCACTGGTGATACCAAAAGGGACCGCAAGTCCGCCGTATATCCGCACTCGGCCTGAGGTTTGAGAGTAGATGGCTTGAAGTAAGGTGACATACTGCTCGGGCACTCCCATCCTCAGTAGATAACTCCAGAGAGCAGCTCCGTCGACGGAGTCAAACGCGGCTTGTATGTCTAAGAAGACAACGATCGTTGGCTGGCCAAATGTTTGGTGACATTTGAATATTTGGCGAAATGTTAAGATGTGATCGAAGCAACTCCAGCCTGAGTGGAACCCAGCTTGCTCTTCACGTATGCTCTGTTCGCTTATCAGGCTGCGCTTCCTTAGAAGCAGAGTTGCGAGCACCTTGAAAGCAACACAGATGAGACTAACCCCTTCGTGGTTGGCAAAGTTAGTTTGGGTACTCGTTTCGAAGACGGGCATGATATCCGCTAGGTTCCAATCAGATGAGGTAAGTTTAGTGACCCAGATCTCTTGGAGCAGAGAAGTTGCCTCTTGAACAAGTGATGGGCCGCAATCTCTGAAAAGAGACGGAGGGAGTTCATCTAGACCAGGGGGTTTGTAACGCTTTAAGAGGCAAAGCTCGTAGGCAACCTCAGCCTCGAAGGGTGGTGAAACGTCTACACATAAGAAAGCGCTCTGGGCTCCAGAATGGGAACTCACTGGTGTTACTGACCAATTAAACTGATGCTCAAAGTGCTCGACCCAACGCTCGAGTCAGTATTTTTGATAGTGGATTGGCTCGTCATTGGTTTCGCATAAAACTTCGCTTATAATCGGCCTTTTGCCGCCAGTAAATAGGATCAGGAGTAAAAGCTTACGGAAATTCCCCGAGGTGGCCGCCCACTCCATCTCAATGACACGCTGCGTCCACCAGGCCTCGCGATCTTCCCGGAGTAGCTGTTTGAGCTCAGCGTTAGTAATCTTGCGTAGTGAATTTAACGCTAGTAGGAATTGCTCGACGGGCTTCGAGAAGTTGGAGGGATCGTGGTTGACAGTACTACTGGTGAAGCCACAGACCAGGGTTGCAGAGTTGTACATGGCGCCGCAGATGTGTGTCCAGTGTGTTTCAATGTCCGTGCATGGGGTAGCCTTCAGCCGTGAGACCAAGGTATCGTGAAATGCGTGGAGAACGTTTGGGGCAGAAAGTGTACTTACGTCAAGCCGTTTCTGGCGACGCTGACGGGAGTGACTAAAATGTAGCTCAACCCTGGCACACAGCAGCGCGGGATCCGAAGTGAGATAGGTACTCCAGATTGATTTGCAATCCTGTATCCTACCCCGTCAGCGATAGCTAATGGCGATGTGGTCAATTTGTGTCCACGGCTGGCCAGGTGATGGGGTCTCCAGCTGGCGCGTTGGCGCCAGAATACCCGAAAGCTGGTACTCGATAGGAAGAGACCGTGATCGGCGCAAAGCTAAAGTAGTCGATCACTGTTGTCCATTCTGCGAGTGTCATGGCCGTGTTGACCACCGAGTTCACGTTCGTCAACTTCAAGTTTACCGACCTGCGCGCTCAAGTCCCCGGTGAGCAACAAGATGTTAGTACGGTGCTTTTTACGGAGGTCGGTCAGTTGACCATAGGACTCATCTTTAACTGACTCCGGGCTACAATTTGTGGGAGCGTACGCCGCGACAATGAATAGACAGCGTCAGCTGATTTCGCGCCTGGACAGTCGCACTGAAGTTTCAAGTCGGATTGCGCATAGTCGACTGTTAACAGGGTTCCAGTCTAGTAGCGCGGCCTCAGTACGTGTGCTCAACGCAATCCCCACGCCAGCATAATCAGCGGCTTCGGCGGTTGAGTCTCCAGATAGGCGCAAAGTGGAAATGTCAGTGGGATTCGCAGACGGTGAAAATAGTCGCAGCGTCGTGTTAGAGTCCTGTAAATGGGTCTCGCTGAGACAGCAGACATCAATGGCCGTAGTTACTAGCAGCGAACGAACGATCAGCGCAAACCAATCAACTCAGGCAGATGACTAGCAAGAAACAGCTAGTGAACGTGCGCAACAGCATGGCAGTGATTTAAGTTTGTGTGCGGTACAAAATGACACTGTGTCATAATAAGATATCTATGATTCTCGGAGGGCTATCTCCACAATGTGCACTCGTGAGTCTCCGAGCAATGGGGTATGGCACTTTCAAGGTGCATTTAGAGCCAGTGGGAGATCAGGCTGAGCATTCTCTTCTTCGGAGGTTAGAGGACAGAATAGTTTTAACTAAAAACATAGCCAGTAAAGCAGTGGTTCTCAAACTTTTTGAGTTTGTTACGCACAAAGCAGGTTTCCTATAAACGAGTACTATCTACCGCCAAGCTAAGTAACTATTAACTACTGCATATTTTGCTGTAAATTACAAAAAGTGAGGCTGGCTAGCCGAACAACCTGGCCGTGGTGCCAGCTCGGTGGTTCGGGTTTAACGCGTTCCAGCAAATAGTTCGGGGGCAGTGTTGCAGGACGCGGTGGGTTTTCGCCTGGCAAGCGTTTTCCTATAAAAAGCCACAAATGTCTGCATAACAACACCGTGACATGGCGGATGACTCGCCACTAAAGGAAGTCACTGCCCAAGCTTACGCTGACAAGCTTATCATTCAAAAGAACAGCAACACATTTATAAACACAAGCCACACACCTTTCCCACAGCTACATTTATGGAATCATATATATGTAAATTCTACTGTACTATTGCACATTTCTTGGTTAATTGTTGTACTATTACTATGTGCATGCCTTTAATGGTGTCTCATGTAGCCGAGAATAAAAATTTATTTATTTATTTACTATCAATCACGTTCGATCAGTTAAATTAAGAAAACACCTATATTTGAACTAACTTTTATTAAATCCAGATGTGATGTGCGTTAATGAGGCGGTTGTTTTGCTTAGTTCTAGCAATTTGTGGTATATTTGATGCGGTTTGGGCTAATGCACACCGCAAGTCGTGCTCCAAGTTCATTAAGTCCCTTACTGTGGTGCGTGATCTCTGATCAAACATGGACAGACGTCATTGGCTTCTCATTTGTTTTAGCCATCCCTTCCAAGTCCGTCATGCACGACAGCTCCCCATCATCACTCTGTATCGTTATACCCTGAACACTAATCGCTTGTTCAATCCCTTCAATCTTGTGAACATTTGCTCGCTCCTTTACCTTACCGGCTGACCTATACTCCCAACTTAGTTTAAATTCAACTCTGTAATTCGACAGGGTGAACGACTGCCTGACTCAAAAGGTATTAAAAGTTATTACCGAAAATTGTCTAATTCACTGACCACTCACAAAAGATTAGTCACTGGTGGCTAATCAATAGTGAGTATTACTTAGTTAAATGCATTGATATATGATGTTATTAATTCCGTCTTGTGATGACTCAACCTTCGTACATATATTTACCCCCGTAAGATTACATTTTACCCACTTGAGGGTATTTACCCCCAGGTTGAAAACCACTACATTAGAGGCAGCCGGATGAGGGGTTATGAGCTCATCTCGAATAACGAAGAGAACGAGCGTCATGCGCTGTCCCTGACAGTGGAAGAGAAACATCCTGCGCCCAAAAGTCCGCAAGCTTACCCTTTGGGCCAACCGGCCGCCGGCCGAAAACACGTCAACCCGTCAAATCCCACCTGCGGTTGGCTTGGTCGTATGTGGACTACCACTACGGGTCTCATGTGAAATGTCCCAAGCAGATTGAAATCGAACGCTGAGGTAGCACATAAGAGGTGAGCTAGTTCCTCGTTGCGCCGTGGGAGTCAGACTCCAGGATTGGAGACTACATGTAGTAAAACTCAAAAAATCCTATCGTAAACTGCAGCCGGAAAATATCATATGACCACAAGATACCAAAATCTATTATTCACGAATAAAAGGAGCACTATATACCTCGCAAAAATGTGAATCATTCTTAATGTGGCGAATTTCTTCTGGCTATTTCTTTCTTGACCTGCGCCTGAGCTTTGTTCCTGTCAGCTTGAATTAATCATGTGTTATCTATCCAGCCCGTGTTATTATTGTCAGCTTGCGTCGGCGGCGATCAATTAGCTTTTACAGCCAGTTTGCTTCATTTTCGTTCACATCGTCCGTTCGATTCGTCACCATCACAAATAGGCTACTAGACTTCACGTTTGAAACCACATGAAACAAGACCTAGCTCAAAAAATAAAACCACATTCACGTAAAAACACCAAGAGGGATGAAATCGAGGTAAGCCCTTAAATGCCAATAGGCCGATGCTAGAACTCACAGGTCCGTCGGTAAAAGAGAAATTCACAAAATCGTCACACGGCGAAATGATGGAGCGGCATGGAAGTGGGACTCTCTTGGATCTGATCCGTCTTGGAGCTTGTCGAATTCCATCACTTGATGCATCAGTAGGGGACCCGGGTTCATGTGGGGCTAATGTTACCACTGGATTTACGCCGGTACTACGAGTGAGATGATATGTTAGACCAAAGTGATCCGGTTCTTCCAGTTTCAGATGCTCTGCGACTAATTGAAACAACTCGCAACCATTAGCTCCGTTCTGTAGAGAAGAGATGAATAATTGGACTAACAGGGGTGTTATGTGAAGCAAGATGGAAGCGCGGATTATGATATAGCACATAGGCGGTGGGAAACAAGCTAGTCAGACCCAGCATAACTCTACAAACCTATATGGCTGTCGATTATGAAACCGCGTGGATAAAAGGTTTCAGTAGCCTGGAGATTTGGTTTTCCGGTTGAGCACGAGGATAACTATAAGGCCGAAGTCCCCGTTCCAGAGGTTTTGTCCCTTTAGGCGCATAACATAATAGTCCTGACCTTAAGTGCAGCGAGTGACAAGGGTCTAAATACCTGGGGGAGATACAGTTTACGTGCAGCCAGAAGACAACGTCCAAAATGAATACGATCATATACTTCAAAGTAGACGACCTCAATACATGTTCGGACAAACTCCTCCCATCTCTAGCGAAAAGCCAAGATAACTCCATACATGCTGTCATGGAGTGGTGAGCGACTCTGGTGTAAAACTGGCTTTGAACTAAACATTCAGATGAGCACGATAGCGAGTCAATAGTTGCAGAGCACAATTCAAAGGGATTGATAACAAGTGGGGTGGAAGAGTAGCAAAGAGTGCTGGTCGGAAGCCGCGTTTTGCTATAGTAGTTTGTGATATGCTCTAAAATGATTGTCCCCCACAGGCAACAGGTACTTGTACCCACCGCGCTAATAAAATCCCTAAGAGGTCACTTGAGTGTATCATCAGAGACTAACGGCGGTGGACAGATTTATGGAAAAACTCAAACTACAGTCAGACTAAAATAAGAACCCAGCTGAAACGTGGGAGGTTGATAAAAGACATCGGTCAGAGAAAGTTTCGCGCCTAATCCTCCAGTACTTAGGAAGCGTGACCTCCGTTCGAGTAATAGACTAGTGTTCTGAGCCAAATAAGATAAGAACTCCGGTACATGCGGAATAGCGATTTATAAGAAGAAAGACTGTAACCGTACGAGCGATTGAGTATGTTTAAATCCTAAGCAGACTTATTTCACAGAGGGACAACCGAGAACGTTGTCACTTTGGAGTGGGTCAATTCCTTTGACGAATTTTCGCACAATTAAAGAATGGAGCAATATCATGGTGAATATCGCAAAACTATGCAAGGGTACCTACTGTACAATTTAACGGAAAAGCAGACTCGTTACTGTCTCCTATTCATATCTAGAGATATCGACTGATTATTTTAGTCCCGATTACGTGGTTGTCATAGGTAGCAACGGTATGGGGGGGGGGGGAATCATTCACAGGCCAAACTGATCATTTGTTTCTGATGTGCAGTAGGCAAGACGCTCAAAACAATCGCTTGATTGCACATTTTGTGATAGTTCGGTAAGTGAAGCAGATAGCGAAACACAGCGCTTAAAATATGGAGATTGTGAGCTATACCATTAAAATCCACCTACCACACTTTTGTAAACAACATAAAATTTGGGCTATATTAACCATGATGGGCTTAGAAAATTTAATACTGCTGATCGACCATTTCACATTGCAAGCGAACAGGTTATATTCTTCAAAGTAGCAAGGATACATGATACATATCTATATATTAATGTTGTTAAGACTGATAACGTGGCTGTTACGGACATTGATGAGAACAAAAAATGGAACCAGCTCGATGTTCAGATTCTGCAACCCTATTGGCTTAGCGTGAGCGTCAAGTCATAGCTCAGGAAAATAGTGACCACAATAGAAATGAAAGTGTGGATACCTGTAGGTCGTAAACTACCACGTGATCGTCCAAGAGTAATACCGTGCACTGTAACGGCGGTGCATCCGCCGTCGCACGGGTCTTGCTCCAATAGACAGATCTCAAAAGGCGAGAAAATGTCGGGTGGATACTGGGTACCGCAGAATACACACATGTGGAGTTTGAGGTAACAGCAACCTCGGATGAAAATACAGGGATCTCGGAAGCCGTTCGGTTTTCGCTCGAATTAGAGCTAAGGAAGTTAGTTAATGCAGGTGAGGGGGAAAGTTCATGTGATGATGTGCGTAAATGCCATACGATTTCAGAATGGTCGCTCAAGGAGTCAATCTCACCCATGGTGATGGCATGTAGTGGATGCCGTGCGCAAACTATAGAACAAAAAGAAATCCACAAACACTGAGTGATTGACGTTTACCAGTATACAAAAGCAACAAAACCGGTACAACAAATGTCAGCAACAGAATGAGAAAGAAACCAAGTTATGCGTGAATAAGACCATCTGAAAATACAGAAGAGTAGCTAGCTAAAATCCCAGAGTTTGTGTCGATGAGCAAATATCATATAACCCACATTTCGCAGGATGTATTTGAAGGGAAGTACACCCGTATTCTCCAAACGCCATGACAGTTGTTTCGTTAAGTTAGACACGGCCAAATCATCAGCATCATCCCATGTTAGCTAGAGGTAAGACATACCTCAACTATTGTGCAGCAATGGAATAGTTACGAAAGCGTAAAGGAAAAAATACAAAATGAAACAAACATTATGTTTCATTTTTTATTATATATCGATATTGATAGTAATTGAAGGAAACGAAGCGGAAAAAGGAGGTACAAAGAAACTCACAACACAGGAGCCAATGAGGTGGGCTGCTGGCCAAGTCAACAAACATCTTCAATCAAATGTGGTCGCCGTCCTTCGAGCCACAAGCAAAGTCGAGACACCAACTAAGACAGTTCGAAATGAGGGCTTTCATTTTTCTTTACCAAATCAGCATGTGGCCTGCCCTGCTCTGTCTGCACCCAGACCTCAGTCGCACAAAAAAACACGCCGCGGAAGTAGGTATGTTGGACTGCGCAGTGCATGATCCAGCCATCGAAGCCTAGTGCATGAAATAACTACTAAGCGGTTCACTATCTCTTCAAGTGACATAAACAAGGCGCCGAACACGTTAGTTGCTCACGGGCCGTTCCCACCAAATATGGGCTAAACTGAGGAGGCACCGTGATCGAATGCGTGGCCTAAGTTTACTTACGAAGTAAAGGGGCACTTACATTGCGCGAACCAGTCATCATCTAGTTACCGAGATCGCTTCCAATACAGGAGGACTAAAGCGTCCAAACCATCTCTCAACAAACGGTTGACACCATAATTACTGATCTTGCAGGCGAAGTGGCATACCTGCCTGATATCGTGGTAAACAGAAAATAATCGGACGATCTCCGAAACCGTAACGTTGCTGTTTTCGAACATATTCATGCACTGGACTTCTGTCTCCCAGCCGATAAATGCCGACTTTTCCTACCACAGACCAAGCGCCGTGGTTTCATCTGTGACACAGAGGGTCATCAATCTGTGATTTTTAAAACATTGTAGCAATGCGGCAGATGTCTGCACTGAGGGACATCTCTACGGTGCAGTCCTGTCTCGGCCTGATCAGGTACTACATGCGTTCTTGGCGATCATACCAAATATCTTGGCCCCAGTGAACCGTCTCTTGCAAAAGGATGCAAAAGGACTTCGGCCCTCCTCCTCTCCTGCAGCTGCAACACCACGACCAGAAGATGTTCATTATAGCCGCAGTTAATGTTGAAAATTAAAGCGAGAGGGAGGTCGTCTCCCACACTTTTAGATAGCTCAGAGAAAGGTAACAAGCACGATCTGTGGACGCTCATGCAATCACCAATCAGAAATCAATCTAAAAGTTAGCTCTAAGTGAGAAGACCTCAATCATTGTGAGCAATACCAGTCAATTAGATGGTAGTGAAATATAAAAGAACGAAAAGAAAAATACTCTTGTTTTAGTTTATGCCACGCGCTGATGACGAGACCGTGGTTTATAAGGAGGCAAAGCGTGTGGGGGAGGGACACCTAACAACACAAAAGCCAATAAGGTCGGCTCCTGGCTCTTTCAACAAGTGTCCAAGCAATCAGCAATTTCTGGGTAGCAATCAGAGTCGGGACACCGAAACAAAATTCGAAGGGAGGGCCTTCAATGCTTTTCACCAAATCATCGGGTGGCCCACCCTCCCCCCTCCGCAATCGTGCAAAAAACACCGCGGAAGTCGGTATGCTGGACTGCGCAGCATATGACCCAACCATCAGAGCGTGGTGCATAAAATAACGGTACTAGGCGGTTCACTCACTCTCCTTTCGTGTACTATAAACAAGATGTCGAAGATGATCATCGCTTACTCAGTGTTCCCACTAGGGGTGAGCTGAGCTGCGAGCGCACCGATGATCGACCGTAACTAGTCGCTTTAGGTCTGTTGATCCGATGGACTAGGTTTTTGTTGGGAAACCACATTCCCAGAGGTAAGCTGGTCCCGAGATTATTATCCGAAGCAAGACTGCGCATTTCTTCTCAATAAGGCCATTTCCGTTAGTCAGTACAGAGTGGGCAACGTAGTCTATCGACCGTTTTTCGGACGCAAAACACTTTTAATATTGTTAATTGATTCTTCCTCCGGTTGAGCGGCTGACGGATTGCACTTTTCACTCGGAAATCTGATCTTTCGGAGTGGTCATTTGGGGATGCAGTGAAGCGAGTGGCCCGAGCGGTTATCCGCGGCGATTTCGATACGTAACCAGGAGTCGAACGCATACCTGCTCCAATTGATTTATTACATTTTGTGTCGTGCGTAATCCAACAAAAATGCTTTCATGCGATTGCTTACCATTATGTCAGCCACTCCCAGATTTGAATCCAGATGATGATTTCAAGAGCTGGGCCCTCCATATGTGTCCGCTTACCTGGCTGGGACACCAGAACTTTAACTTTAACGGGTAGCTGCACTGTTGACTGCGTCCTATACATCGACATTGATATCGAGCCAATGTCAAAGGTGACTAGCTTACGTTATATGTATCACCAGCTTCACTAGTTGTGACCGGTTGCAAAGGTACGAACAAAACATGGCGATGGGGACGCCCAAGTCGGCCCAGGCAAATTCCACCATATGGCTAACAGTTTTGTCGTCAAGAAAATTCAAACACCTGTATGGCCGCCAGTTGACACTGCTCACTAGTCACACACTACTGCCGTCGATCTTTGGAGCTAAACATGAGATACCGATGAACTGTGCTAATCGTCTACAACGATGGACAACGATCCTTTCAGGGTACGTTATCAAAGTTCAGTAAGTCCGCGCCGTAAATCCCCAGTATAGTAATGCAGAAAACAGATTCGAAGCTTGTACACAATGGATAAAGAGAGTACCCGGCACCAGAATACAACGTTACACAACTGTAATACATAGAAAGAGGGAGGTAATGATCGTCAACATCAAAAGCAGTATATCAGTCAATTGAGCCGTTGCTCTGCTGTGGAACCAACGTAACGGACGATGGAACGAAGAAAAACAAGAGGAAGGAGGTCTAACCGAAAAACCTTAATGCCTTAAATGAATATACAGGGTAGACGCACCAAAACCTTGTGTCAATAACATACTATCACAAACAACTGGCTACCGGGCGAAGATTTAACTGCATCAGCGAGACAGCTTCCTTGCGGGTTTCCAATGCCCCACATCATAATCAGCCAGTGCCCCGCAGATAACTCAGCACCAAACACACTTTAAACAGGCAACCTGACTAGGAGACGACAGCAGATAAGCCATTGGTGCCGACTGCGAGCCATGTCCTGTAGCGTTTCAAGCCAAACACAAGGCGAGTCACGTGGACTCCAACCCGGAAGGTGAGACGGACCAACGGCACCCAGTTTGGTCGTCAGTGACTTCATTTCTCGCTGCCAAGTCAATTTCAGTCCACCTCGAGCCTTGCGTTACCCTACACTTGGCAGACCAAACAAGGCCCTCCTAGGTAAGCGGTAACCAGACATACGTAGCACGTGTCCGAGCCAACGCAACTTATGCAGTGCTATCAGTTGTTCTAGGCAGCTAGCATGATTATCACTACCTAGTACTCGCCTGCCCACATCATCACTGCGGACACGCTGGTGCCATCCAACAAGAGCAACGCTACGCAGATAACGATGATCAAAGACTTGAAGGTGCCTCAGATCGAACGCGTCAAGTATCGCTTCCATAGAGCAGAACGTCCCTCACTGTGGCCTTGCAAACGTGGTCTTTCAGATTGAGGGAAACCCCCTACTGATGCCAAAGAGGTTGCAGATTCAAGAATGCAATTGTAGCTTAATAAGGGCGAGAACAGACTTCAGCTGCTATGAGCTCCTCGTTGCTGATGCAGCTGCCAAAGTAGATGAATTGATCAACTATCTCGAGTTCCTCGCCATTGATGGTCAAGGTGGTCCTGTAAAAACACTGCACTATGTCGTTGCGAAGCACATGCCAAATGATGGGATCACACTAGAGGTTATTCAGGGTTGACTGTGCCGCCCCACCATCGTTAG